GAGCTTTATACCTTTCAATGGTTCCATCTACATGGTATTTAATTTTATACACCCACTTACATCCAATTGTGCGTTTGCCAGGAGAAAGACTGACAAGAGACCATGTATGGTTATTTTCAAGAGCAGAAATCTCATTTTGCATTGCTTTCTGCCAACAGTCATGTTTGGAAGCTTAGGAATATGTTTTTGGTTCTATATGGAAAGAGATGGTTAAACAAAAAAATTTGTATGTGGAAAAGCCAGAATTATAAGAAAGGACATCAAAAATAGGATAAGAAGCATTTCGAGATAAAGTTGAATTACCTGAACAAGATGATTGCTTGAGAGATGTGGTTGACAGATTACAGTGATAATTGTGCAAATAAGAAGGTGGATGTCTGTCTCTTTGAGATCTTCTTGGAGCATCTGTATGTTGTAATAAGGCTGGTTGTTGATCATGATTATGTTGAATTGATGAAGGTAATGAAAGATCAGGATAGTTTGGTATGAGATTATTTTGTGTTTGGGCTGATATAGGGTAATCTGGTGTAAAGACAGGATCAGGATAATTTGGTGAGGGATCTTCAGGTAAAGGTGTATATTTATCAGAATTATAGGTATTATTGCTGGTAGCAAAAGGAAAATGTCTTTCAAAGAAGATGACATTTCTGGAAACAAATATTTTTTGAGAATTTATATCAATCAGGATGTAACCTTTAATTCCCTCTTAATATCCAAGGAACATAGCTTTGATGGCTCTAGGAGAAAAAATTTTACGGTTAGCTTTGAGAGTAGTAGCATAACGCAGGCATCCAAATACTTTGAGATGTGCAAGTGTGGGAGGTTTATTGTAAAGTCTTTGGTATGTGGTATCATTGTTAAGTATAGGAGTGGAGAGTTTGTTTATACTTTATAATATGAACAACCTGAGTAATGGCAAATGACCAAAATTGAAGTGGGATATTGGATTGCAAGGTAATGGCTCGGGCTACATTTAATATATGTTTGTGTTTTCTTTCAACAATGCCATTTTGTTGGGATTTTCTACACAACTTTTCTGATGCAGAATCCCTTTGTTGCTGTAAAATTCTTGCATTGCAAACTCAGGACCATTGTCACTTCGTATGCATTTCACAGTGGTTTGAAATTGGTTTTCAATGAATTTAATGAATTCTTTAAGCTTGTTACGAGTTCAGCTTTGGTTTTAAGAAGAATGGTCCAAGTAAATCTAGAATGATCTTCTACAATGGTTAAAAAATACCTATATACCTGAATTGAAGGTAAAGAATATGGGCCCCATATATCAACATGTAAAAGTTGAAATATGTTATCTGTTTTTGTGGTACTTGAAGGATATGATAAATTGTGTTGTTTTGCCAGATGACATACATCACAAGGAGATATTTCTTTGTAATGAATAAAAGGGAATTTTATTGACATTTGTTTCAATGTTGAGTGTGATACATGTCCTAATGTAAGATGACATAATGAAGCATCTTCTTTGATACAGTTATTGGAAACTGACTTGGTATTAACTATTGTGGAAGGTTGAGCAAACTCTTCGTTATTCATCGGTTGTAATTTGTATGATGAGCTTCTTATCACATATAATCCATCAACTTCATCAGCTGAACCAATCATCATATTCGATGGTATCTGTTTGATAACACAACATGAATCATGAAATGTTAGATAACAAGGAATAGTTCGAAGGAGTCTTGTAACAGATACAAGAGTTACTTTGAAAGTAGGAACATAAAGGACATTGTGTAAAATAAGAGTGGAGGAAATATGTACTATTCCAGAAAAGCAAGCTAAAGATTGTGAACCATCAGGAAGTGAAATTGCTATAGGTGTAATCTTTCTAAGATCAGAAAATTGAGATTTCAAGAAACCAATATGGTCAGTGGCTCCAGTATCAAGAAACCATATGCACATTGTGTTACCTTATGTATTTACATTTAGTGCTATTGTTTGTACCAAATTTGATGAGCTGATTGGTGTCTCCATGGTTGTTGGACTCTGTTTGTATGAACCATTCAATAGATTTTGATATTCCTCCTGTGAAATAGTGATATTATTTTCTTGCATTCTTTCTGCATCAGGTGCTTCACTATGGTTATCTTGTGCAGAAAAATTTGCAGCATTTCTGGTCTTGTATCCAGGTGGAAACCCGTGTTTCTTGTAGCATGTATCAATGGTGTGGTTTGTTCTCCCACAATGAGTGCACATTTTTATACTGTTTCCACGTCCTCTTCCAAAGATGTTGGAAGTTCCATGTCCTCTTCCTTACATATAATTTCCTCTTCCTTGCATATAATTTCCTCTTTGGACATTATCTGTTGTGCTAAGAAATACCTTTGGGTTAACAGTCAACTGATTTAAGCTAGATTCACATTGAATCTGCCTTTCTTGCTGAACAACCAAGGAAAACACTTTGTTAATATCTGGCATTGGATTGATCATCATCAATTGAGATCTCACATAAGCATATTGCTCATTAAGGCCTTTAAGGAACCTTACTATACAATCTTGTTCTTTATATTCACGCATCAATCTGTAACCATTACATGAACAACGTACTGTGCAACTACATGATGGTGATGGCCTTAAATTGTCAAGCTCATCCCACATAATTTTTAACTCTTTGAAGTAATCAGTTACAGATTTCTCACCTTGCTGCATACGATACATTTCTTCATGTAGATAAGATATTATGAAGATATCTGAATGAGAAAATCGTGCTTTGAGATATCTCCATGCATCCTTTGCTTGATCAATCCAAAGAATGGAACTTGCTATGCTACTATTGATGGAACGATGAATCAATGATAAAACAATGGTATTACATCTCTCCCATGCTGGAAAAGTGGGATCATTAACATCTGGTTTTTCTATTGTGCCATTGATAAAACCAATTTTATTTTTGGATAGAAGTGCCATGCTCATAGATCTAGCCCAAGAATGATAATTGGTCGGATCTAAGGGTGGAATAACTAACACCAAAGCTGGACTTTCATTTGAATGCAGAAAGAAAGGGTTACTAGGATTTGTGTGATAATCTGGAAGAGAATTGGCCATGATGAAAGAAGAAAGGAAAGCAAGAAAAGAAAAGAATTCAAGTACTGAAAATTAGAAAAGCTGCAAATAAGAATTCCTAGAAAAAGAGATTGCAGCAGAATATTTGGTTACCAGAGCCCAATGTGCTCTGATACCATATTACAAAAGTGAACTAACTTCATATCAGAAGCAAGGAAGGAGACGAGAGAATGAACAATACTGATTCTCATTGATTGAATGAAAAGAGTTACAAAGATACTTTTGAAACTTAAGCTTCTATTACTTATATACAAATATTTACAAGAACCAATCTTGATTCTGTAACTAACTAAACTGACTTAATGAGAACTCTACTACTGGTTATTGGGCTCACTGTTGGGCTGGTTGTTGATCTGTAACAATGATCACATTTAATCTCTAAGAACTTCGGCCTATTCACGATCTAGTTAGTAACCAGCTTAAGATTTTAGGAAATTATATAATTAATATATAATTTTCTTTTTGTATTTCATAGAATTTAATATAATTTTCAAACAAACTGTTTTTTCAACATGAATAATGAGAAAAATGTTTGTTATCTCATAGAACACAACTTTATATTATTTTCAATGAATTTTTTTTTATGTTTTGGTGTATATTTGTTAGCCTTTTGCATTCTCTCTCTTTTACAAATTAGGAAAAGAGACAAAGAGAGAATATCATGGAAGCTATGAAGCACCGACACTTCAAAAATCTTGACGTGTCGTGTCCGACACTTCCCGACACTCCAATACTCGTTGCAAAGACTCAAAAAAGGTTAATTAAAAGGTTACGTTGCATTGCATTTTGAGTTCCAACTATTAGATTCGTCATATTACGATTACGATTTTATTGAGTTTAATATAAATATTTGAGATATCTTATGTTTCTTTGCAAAATTGATGAGTATTATAAGTTTAGCTTTATTTTTTGTTAAATTATTGATTACTAAATATATTCTACCCTACATAAATTAAAAATATTATATAATATCAAAACGTGTCCTAACGTGTCGAAATTTAACATTTGTTAGAATTAACGAGTCAGAGTGTCGTATCGTGTCGTATTCCGTGTACTGTGTCGGTGTCGTGCAACATAGCATGGATGAGAGAGAAGGTAAAAAACCAATAAATATGCATCAAAATATGATCATTCACTTAAAATAACACAAAATTATATCTTTTAAAATGATAAATATTTTTCATAAATAATAGTGCTCGAATAGAATTAGATGTATAATTTTAGAGAAATATAATTTTTTTGTCGCTGCAAAAAAAACAGAAACTTCTGCAGCAACACATATGATGTCGAATCCTCGTTTTTTTCTTAAAAAAAAAAATCAATGGATCCCATTTTTCTATGTCTGCTGCACCAAAAAAATATTTGCAGTCGCCGCAGAAAAATGAACCTATAATTTTATCAGTTTAATATTTCTTATCCAAAACAATATTATTTTGGGATTAAGAAAAAAATTATACTAATAAAAATTAATATAATTTAAAAATAAATTAAAATTATAAAAATATTTCTCTCAAAAACAAGTTTGTTTCGTACTCAAAGAAGATAATTAAGTTAGTGGGAAAAACTATTCTCATGTCACATAAGATAAGTTTTCTCTTCTACACACCCTTCGATAACTGTGTCACATTTTTCTTTTCTTTTATTTTATTTTTTCAAATGATAGAGCCCACTAATTTGTTTCTATGACATGAGATAACTATCTCATTTAACATGAGATTAATAAAACCCTAAGTTATAACCAACAAATAAACGTAGAAATGTTAAACCCCAATTTTATTTTATTTTTTTTTATTTTTTTTTGGAAATAATTTTTTTATTTTATTTTATTTTTTAGAAACGGACCCATCTTCCTGCTGCTCTTATTACTAAATGTTAAACCCCGATCATTCCTAGACAGTAAGCATTGTTAAAGCCAAAACTAAATGGCAATTGAAACAACTCTTTGTTGCATATCAATTATACTCACTCTCTCAGCACATGTTCCTTTTACTTGTTGTGTGATGATTATTAAGATTTAAGGAGATAGTAAAAGAGACATTTCACAACCTGGAACCAATGACCACTTCGAAACCCATATCTCCCTTCAGATTATCCTCTCTCCTTCGTTCCCAGAAGGACCCATTACTCGCTTTCAAACTCTTCCTCAACCCAAACCCAAACCCGAACAAACCCCAAAACCGCCCATTCCGCCACTCACTCCTCTCCTATGACCTCATCATCATCAAACTCGGCCGCGCCAAAATGTTCCCCGAAATGGAACAACTCCTCCATAAGCTCCACCACGAAACGATCTTCCGCGTCCCCGAACCCCTCTTCTGCCACGTCATCTCCTTCTACGGCCAAGCCCGCCTCCCCGCACGTGCCATCCGCACGTTCCGCTCCATCCCCTCCTTCCGCTGCAACCCAACCCTCAAGTCCTTCAACTCCCTCTTAAACGCGCTCCTCAACTGCCGCGAGTTCCACTTAATGACCCAACTCTTATCCACCGTTCACCACTTCGGCACCCCAGATGCGTGCACCTACAACATTCTCATCAACGCGTGGTTTTCAATAGGTGACGTGGAACGTGCGTATAAGGTGTTTGATGAAATGCGCAAGCGAGGTGTTCGTCCCAACGCGGTTACTTTTGGGACTATGATTAACGGGTTGTGTAAGAATTCTCGTTTGCACGAGGCCTTCAAGGTGAAAGAGGATATGGTGAAGGTTTTCAAGTTGGAGCCTAGTGTTTCTATATACACCAAGTTGATCAAAGGGGTTTGTGAGATTGGGGAATTCGATTGGGCCTTTAGGATCAAGGAGGAGATGGTGATGAGCAAGTTAAGGTTGGATGCTACATTGTATAACACTCTTGTTTCCGCGCTTTTCAAGGCTAGGAGGAAAGAAGAGGGGTTGAGGGTTTTGGAGGAAATGAAGAACAGTGGTTGCAAAGCGGATTCAGTGACTTGTAATGTCATGATTGGGGAGTTTTGTAGGGAAAAGAATTTTGAAGAAGCTTATAGGGTTTTGGATGGGATGGAAGGATTGAAGCAGGATGTTATAAGTTACAATGTGATTATTGGTTGGTTGTGTAAAGAGGGGAAATGGAGGGAAGCAATTGATCTGTTTGAAGACATGCCCAGACGCCAGTGCGCGCCGGATGTTGTCACGCATAGGACCCTGTTTGATGGGCTTTGTGATTGGATGCAATTTAGGGAAGCTGCATTTGTTTTGGATGAGATGGTGTTTAAAGGCTATGTTCCCCTTTCTGGGAGTTTGAATAAGTTTGTTGATGGGTTGTCCCGGGAAGGGAATTCCGAGTTGCTATCAACCGTTTTGAGTTGTTTGGGTAGAGGAAATTGTTTCAATGAGGATTTGTGGAAAATTGTTGTTTCCATGGTTTGCAAACCAGAGAAGCTGTCAGAACCTTTTGAGCTTCTTGATGCCCTGGTGTTGGGATAGATTGTATTGTAATCTAACATTAGTGGACTTGGTATAAAAAAAATGTGCCCAAGTTGAGATTCTGTTTATCTTCATGTGTACATAGCTTGCTGACCAAAGATAATTAATTTCTCTGAGTGGTGCTCCATTTGTGTTTCCATGAGATGCACCAATTGCTTGTTCTCATATTTTGAAGAAGCAAAGATGTAATCTGTTAACCTGAAGACTTGTTTTAGTAATTAGCTTTTTTGAAATTCTTTACGTTGCTAACTAGCTGTTTTTTCTCTCTTTCATTTCCCTTTGTTTGACTGATGGTTGCTTTGCACTGAGATTTTGTTCAGCATGATGTGGATAAAATATGTGAACTTTGAGGTGTGACCTACGTTTTTCCAATTTTGTCTTTTGGCTGCTGCCATCTTAAATGATAGATATAGTTAAGCAAGGTGAAGGGTTCGAGTTTGGAAAACAGTCTCTTTGCAATATTGCAAGGGTAGGGTAAAGCTGCATTCAATCTGAAGAAAAGAAGAAGTGGAAGAAGTGTTTTGTCTGAATAATATTTTCTTGATTCATTGAGAGACCCAATGGGTCCTTTTTATATTGAGTACATCCAACTACCTCAACTGGTTTAATAAATATACAACCACCAACTACATCAATAAATATACAACTACAAACTAAATATACAACTACTAACTACATCAATAAATACTATCTAGAATATTCTACATATTCTACACCCCCCTCAACTGCCGTCTGTTCCTTGGTAGGTATATATGTCAAGCATACACTACCGTCTTCTAATTTCTCTTTGATAAAGTGACGATCAACTTCCACATGTTTTGTTCTGTCATGATGAACAAGATTTTGAGCAATGCTGACAACAACCTTATTATCACAATATAATCTGATAGGTAGGAAATAAGAGATCTTCAACTCCTCCAGAAGCCTTCGTAACCAAATTCCTTCACAAATACCATGGGCTAGAGCCCGAAATTCCGCTTCTGCACTACTTCTTGCAACAACAATTTGTTTCTTACTTCTCCAGGTCAAAAGGTTTCCCCAGACATAAGTACAATATCCCGAAGTAGATCTTCGGTCCATTGATGAGCCAGTCCAGTCTGCATATGTATAGATTTCAATCATCCTTTTGTGCCCTTTTTTAAAGAAAATTCCTCGACCAGGGGTATTTTTGAGGTATTTGAGAATTCTATAAATAGCACTAAGGTGTTTTTCCTTAGGAGAATGCATGAATTGGCTAACCATGCTCACAGCAAAAGCAATATCAGGACGAGTGTGAGACAAATAGATTAATTTCCCCACTAGTCTCTGGTACTGTTCCCTATTAACATCTTCCCCGTCCTCAACTCCCATCTTGATATTAGCTTCAATTGGAGTCTCTGTCGGCTTGTGTAACAGCCCGTTGTACACCGGTATTGTTAACATTAATTATGATATTAAGCGCAGTTACAATCACAACAATTCATTTATAAAAATACGAGTAAACTTTTTCCGATTATTACGCGAGCATTTAAAACCATAAAAAGCATAACAATTAAAAGCTGTGACCATAACTGTAAACTCTTGCGGAATATTTATTTAAACTATTCTTATAACTTACTTTACTTATTATAAGTTACTAAGGGGTTCCCATAAACCCGCTTAGCCAATTTCACACTTTTATGTTTTCAACATATTCGAACGTGGTTCGGTATATTCATTCATACTCTCCCAATTTTCTTCGTGTTCGTCTCATCTTTTAGTACCTTTTACGGGACCTAATTAACTTTCTAAAGAGTCATCACACGAGTCATTTCGATCTCGTTTGCTCCAGATATCGCAGTTTGAAGTTGGACAAGCAAAACTGCCAACCAACCCCAAAACAGCTCAAAACATCTCTCACTCCACGAATTACTGCAGAAATTTTACTCATCCAATTGCTCTCAAATTTTTACGCTACAAACTAGACACATCAACCTTCAATTTGATATATCATACGCTTAATTTGACTGATAAACGACGCGAGAATTAATTTCCCAAAAACTGCCAGAAACAGCCCCTGCATAAGAGGGTCCTGGACAGTCAGTGTTCACTGGCTCCTACAGGGATGCGTGCAACCCATAATATTCTCATATTTTGGCACAATGTAGGGGACATCTCAAGCTTTAAAATGGCATATGGCATGTCCCTATCGAACCGCTGTGGAGGGAGATATGCTCTCCCGAAGTTCGTCTAAAATCTGCCAATTCTATAGAAAATTCGCTAGAGTTTTCTTTGATTTTCCTAAAATCCCCAAATTTGCAAAAGCTCACTAGTACCTCAAATGTACCTAATAATCCAATGGGTGGCACACACAAGGACCAACAATGCCTTGGGGCACTTACAACCCAACTCAGTTTATATTTATTACACAATATAGCTCACTTTATAATCCTTAACTTGTTTCAATCACCAAAGTTCATTTTCATGCAAATTCTCAACATACAAGTAATCATAATCTAAAATAGGCCTAAATCCCTTCCATCATAGTACATCATGCATCCATCGTACAATTACAACATTTAACTCACATGTTACAACTTACAACTTCAACTTTAAATTACAACTTACAAATTAACAACTTTAATTTACAACTTGAAACATAAGCTTAAATAACATAGACTACTAGACTTAGGCAAAACGACATGAACAAATATGCTAATGAAACTCATCCTACATACATATGAGATGTTCATGCCCTAAGTCTAGCCTAGGCCACATGGCCAACAAAATGCAAAATAAAGAAAGTGCTCCAACTAATCACCCTACGGGCTTCTTGTCCGCCGCTCCAACGCCACTGCTACCTCCTGAAATAAAGCCCCCAAAACGGGGTGAGATATACGAATATATCTTAGTAACCCAGAGGTTCTGGAGAAAACTCCGCCCAATGGCTCACTTCGATGCATATAAATAATATAAAACAATCACTTTCAAAACGGGATATAGCAAGGGATTTAGAGAAACTAGGGAATATCGGGATATAAAATACGACGAAGCTGGAATGGTAGCTACCAATACCACGCAACGTCCTCGGCATATAAGCCTACGGGTCTCATCCAAGGTGTGTTCCAAGAACCACAACCAAGGTACCCCTTCCATCCATATACACCCGAGACTTCCTAGTGTGCTCCTACCCGGATGACACACCACGACCCTAGGTCAACTGGAACTCCCTCTCGGAGACCTATCCAGTGGAAGTCCGCACTTCCCGAAGGCTACACTGTCTACTGGCCAGAGACTTGGTACATAAGTACCCTCACAAATGCTACATGCATGCTCATGCTGCTCTACACTACTCATATACACTTCCTACCATTACCCTCAACGGGTATGGTGGAACAGAAAAGGGGAACAAGCCCCAGTACCAAGAGGTTACCTTAATACGTTCCTCCACTTAGCTCCACAACAGCTTATTTCCCAAACTTGTTACTCCACCGAATGCCTCAATCCACTTGGTCCAGGACCAAGGGAAATCCACCGTTTCATGGTTCGGGATTCAAATCGACGTACGGCAACCTATACAACCACATACAGCCATCAGTATACATCAATCCTATCAAAACGCGAAAAATCACAAAATCACCTCTCCTCCCTTGGAAGGTTTGGCCAAACAAGTCATTTTTCAAATTTATTTTTCTAAATTCTCTTTCTCATTTTATTACACATCCTTAGGTTGCCAAGAGGCTAATTCAAGTGCCATTTTTCCGTTTTACGTCTTTTAAGCATCATTTTGCTAAATAATTCACTCTAGGTTCTTTTATGTCCCTAAATACAATTTATTATTTTCTATTGATTCTACCACTTTCCAACCACCACACAACTCATCTAAATATCATTTAACACTTGACACATCAAGCAAGCAATGCAAACGACCTCAATTCCTCAAGACACTCTATATGGCCGAATTATCACTTGGAATTTTCAAAGGATTCTCACTCAATTTTAATCATTCCACACCTCATACAATATCATTATATCAACATACAATCTCATTATATCAACATACAATCATGCAACAACTCACCAATCCATCCTAACATATTTCCAAAATCCAAAGTCATGACAACCAAAAATTTCACTAAGTTAAAATCCATATTTTTCACCTAAAATTTTCATGGCATTTCTAGCTCTAACACATCATTCTAAGGCATTATCATCTAATACACATTTTGCATTTGAGCTCTCTAACAACACAAATCAACAAAATCAAGTCTAGGGTTTATGAAAATAAATCCACAAATTAAGCCATCAAAAGTGTTGAAACTTACCCACAATTAAGTCACAAAGGCTCCTCCAATTGACCCCTAAGCAAAGCTTGAGCAACAACTCCAAAAACCCCAATTTCTGCCCAAAATTCGTGGCTGTAAATGCCTCTTTTCTCACAATAGAGAGGGTTTCAAGGGAAACTAATCGGTGGAATGGGTTCAGATGATCGTTTCCATCGAATTTCAAGACAAGAATCGTCTGATTCGGTTAAGAATTGATGAAGTTAGGAGGGAGACAAGTTTTGAACCAAAACTTGCATGGAGAACAATGAGGGAGGGCTGTTTCACGGGGAAGAAGCGAGGAGAGGAGAGGGGAGAGAATGTGTCATGTGAATGTGACTTTTAAGTAACTTAAGCCATAGGTGGGTCTCACACGCGATTTAACTTTAATCAATCACTAATTTTAACCATAAATTCATGACCTACGTATTTTTCTCGTTCATGTCATATTTTTGTTTCCTAAAAATATTGATAAAAATTTCACGCTTATCGGTATAATTATACCGCAGTATTTTTACACCAGAAAAATCATTATTCATCAATTTTTCTCGAATTTGCCTATCCACTTGATTTTTCGTTCTGAATCTATTTCCAGGGTTCTTTTTATCATATGAGACCTTCTACTCAATTTTATCTTCCTAGGGTTGTATGTTGGCTAATTACCGTTTTGCCCTTTCTTTGGATTTTGGCCTTATACTCAGGATTTTTACTAATCATTCTCTTTAATTTTCATTTAATATTTTAATATTTAAACTTAGAAATGCAAGGTGTTATATTCACCCCACCTTTTAGAATTTTGTCCGCAAAATTAACTCATACTCGTCCGCTAACTCAGGACACAGCCAGAGAATCTCATCCTCCCGTTCCCAAGTAGCATCCTCAGGTGTGTATCTTTACCATTTTACTTTTATCACA